TCCCGATTTGGGTGCTGTCTACTCATGGCGGCAGTAGACCAGTGGGGTTTTCCAGCTGGCCTGTGTTTCTTCAGACGGTGCTTCCCCCCTGACCCAGGAGACAGCATGACACGGATGTAGACACACGTCACAACTAGAGCACAAGCATGGCGGACAAGGCCAAGTCCCAGCTGAGTCAGAGGATGCCTTGGCATCGATTTTTGTGGAATGCGGGGTAGCCAGACTGTTTGAAAATAAAAGTTCAGGAACTGCCCTCAAAGTTTTTTTTTTCCTAATTCAAGAGAAAATGGCTGCCTAAAAGAGACCCCCTGGTTGCACATGAACCGTTGAGCGAACCTACAGTGGGCTGCTACATAAAGGGAAGCAAGTAATCATGTGCCGTCACCGCGGGCATGATCCCAGATGGGGCCTTTGGCTGGCATCACTGAGATTTTGATCTTTCGACAGAATTGGAAATTGTTTGTTTGGTTTTTTTTTCCCCCTAGAAGCTGAAGCCTCTTTGTGTATAATCCAGAATTAGGGAAGGATAGACTGGCTCCACGAGTCTGAGTAAGCAGCAATGACCAGGGGACTGGCAGTGAACTTCTCGATGTTTAATTGTATGGAGGACTCATGGCCCCTTCATAGACTCTTTCATTTACAGTTAAAGTCTGAATACTTACAAATCTTTGTGGCCTGCAGGATCCCCCCCAAAGATTTGGTTAGTTATAGGATTGGTACATCTAGGGTCCACCAATACCTAGTTTCGTCCTACTGAAAGGATTGGATAAATTGCCTCTCCCAGGTATTCTGGAGGCCCTAGAACCCTGGGCCAGATAGAAAGCTTGGCCTCATTGAACTGGGCAGGAACATTCTCATAATACCAAGCATGAGAGACATAATTTCCCAAGAATTCCAGGCCCACTTCTTCATTCCCCTTGGAAGGGTGCACAAAACGGTGCCTGCATTCACCCAAACATCTGCTCTTCTTCCTCAGCGTTGGTCATATCCAATGATACTGAGCCTGGGCTGGGCGTTGTTCCTCCAGCCTGGCATCCTGGGCAGACACCTGGTGATTTCTGAGTCATCCCCACCCCTTCAGCTGAGATGAGCCAGCTACCTTTGGTTTCCCAGTGAGAAAGTCTTACTCAGATTGTCGGTAAATAGTATCTAACTTTGGCAACAACTGAATGATGGGGGGGGGGGGGCGGGTAAGCAACAGAATGTGGTCTAGTCTAGTGGCTCCAGAGGAGACTTGGTGTCAGCAGTCCTGGTCTCAGCACCAGCAGCCTCTCTGACTCACTGTGGGCACATCACATTGTGTTTGCTGGATGGTTTTGGGATCAGAAATGTGACTTTGGCTCCCTTGTGCATGAGCTGTTAACGAAGCACTTTACCGGCAAATTCAGGAATTAAAATAGCATCCACACAGCGGGTGAGTAACTGGCCTTTAAAGAAGACTGTCAGATATCTGTCAGCTGTGAGGAAGATGGGTTCCTAATGGGACGGGGACATTTCTGTAAGCCCAGTTGCCGCGCACTCCGCAAGTATTATGAATGCCTCCAAGTGGATTGCGACGTCTTCTGGATTCACCGAGAATCTCCCAGACGTCTTGGAGGTGCTCCTCACCCTCGGTGGAGTGAGTTCCCCCTTCGTGGCTGCGTCAGTTTGGGTCCTCCAGGAAGAAGACCCTAAGCTTGGACTGGGTGAGGAAGAGATTTATCGGCCGTGAAGGATAAGGAGGAGAGAGCTGGAGTCACTGGGGCCCAGGTCAATGTATGTTAGGCAGAGTAGCCACAGTGCCTAGGGGCCAGGACATTTTTAGGGTCCATGAGAATGTTTTCATCTTATTTATTCTAAAATCGGAAGAAAAAAAATGAACGTGCTAATAACAAATAAAATAATCAGTCCGGCCTAAATTATGTTCATCTTTATACCAACGCAGTCATAAAATAGAATGCTTAATATTTTTTAAGGAGGCATGGACCCACAGTGGCCAAAGGGCCTAGGGCCCACAAAAGTCATAACGTGGCGCTGGCTAGGGAGGGCCTCCAGCACGGCAGAGAAGACTGACACCTGGGAGGGAAAGGCCAGGCTGCGGGGGAGGGGGGGTTGCTGAAGAGTCCCCCTCAGGCAGAATGGCCCCGCTCTGCTAATCCTGTTCTGCCTAGTCACCAGCTGAGAACAGCCCAGTGTACTTGGCCTTGGCACAAGCGCTGATGTGGGTCCAGAGGTGAGGCAGCTGGAAGCTGTCAGCCAGCTGTGCTCCCTGCAGCAAGTTCACCTGAAGGGGGGTCACATGCCACCTCCATGGCCCCCACAATGAAGAACCAAGGAAACAAAATATTAGGTCTCTCCTCTACCCAGGCCCAGCCCCCACACACGTATCTTGGAAAGGGATTCTGTTTCATCGGAAGACAGGTTACAAAGAGCATTCAACACTCCCTCTCTGCCTCTGACGCAAGAGCTCTCGGTGAGCAAAGGGGTGTTATGGAGGCTAGCTGGTCGCATGTGTTCTCTATTAGTAAAGTATTCTGGGGGGGCTGGCTGTCCCCCCTTCCCCCCGCAGTGCTCCCGTGGGCACTGGAGCTTGGGTGGCGGAGGCATGGCCTTCCTTCCGGTTCAGAGTTTCTCTGATTCTGTTCAGTCTGACATTCTGATTCGTCCTTTAAAATCCCTTGCCAGAGTCAGCAAAGTGAGAGCCCCTCAGCTGTTTCCAGCCTGCAGATATGCTTATTTGGCAGAGACAGAGTTTAAAAAATTGCAGTGGTGGGTGTTATGGGTTGAACTGTGTTTCCTCCAAACCATATGTTGAAGTCCTAACCGCCCCCTGCCCCCCAGGACTTCAGAATGTGACCTTATTTGGCAGTAGGGTTGTTGCAGATGTGATTAGTTAAGATGAGGTCATACCGAAGTAGGTCCCTAATCCAATATGACTAGTGTAGTTATAAAAGTTGGGGGGGGCGGATTTAGACACAGAGAGAGACCTGTACAAAGGGAGAACACCATGTGAATATGAAGGCAGAGCTTTATTAGCCAAGGAAGGCCAAAAATTGCCAGCAAACCACAGATGATAGGAGGGAGCCTTGGAACAGATTCTCCTTCACGGTCCTTGGAACAAGGAACCAATCCCGCTGACACCTTGATCTGGGACTTCTAGCCTCCTGAGCTGGGGAGAAAGAATCAATTTCAGTTGTTTAAGCCACCTAGTTTGTGGTACTTCATTATAGCAACCCTAGCAAACTCAGATAGGGGGTATCATTTTGAAATGGATAGATTTGCTATGAAAATTTAGATTTTGAGCTTCAGTGGGAAAAGCCTGAGGTGCCGGGCTGGATGTCGGGGCACCAGCTGGGAGCAGAGGGATGGATACACTCAGCCCTGAGCTAGAGAGCACAGCCCACAAGGGGTGGGGACTGCCACTCTGGGCCACCCGCTGGTGGTGGCAGCTCGGAATGTGGGTTCAGCGCAACCCGATTTTCTGATGTTTCCGAACAGAAGCTTGATTGCTGTTTCTCGTTGCTGATGAAATATGATTTCAGATGTTGGCAACGAATGCATCCCTCGATTTCCTCCCAGAACCCACTCCGCCTCAGTGGTATACTTGGTCATGTTGGCCCCTTGGTCATCTGAGTTTGTGATCTCTATTCATTCACGGTTGCATGTCTTGTCTAACTATAAGAGAAATTATAGTTAAACAAGGGAGGTGATTCAGGGGGGGTCGAACAATTTGCCGCCAGGAGAAAGCGAGCCTTGATTTACCCACCTCTCCCCTCTGCCATTTGAGGCAAGGACCTTTCTGAGGCTATCTGTGCTTTAAATAATCATGTGCTGTGCGAGATGTAAAGCAGGTGTCCGGTCTATGCAGGTATATGGTCTTCCTACTACCCTTACTGCTAGTGTGTTGAGGATACAAGGAGTTGTTACTAATCAGGCACCATGCAATAAAACAAAGATACTAAGCTATAGTTGTTCTGAACTTACAAATAGAAAGGTCATTCTATCGAAGCTACAGTACAGCCCTCCATCACTGCAGCTTTAATTGCCAATAATGACAATGACTCTTTACACAGAACAGACAATGGGGAAGCCATGGTACCAAAATCATTAATGACATTCCTTTAGTTCATTGTAATTGCGTTAGGCAGTTACAATGTGCCAAGCCCACGCTAAGCATGGCACATGCATAATCTCATGTAATGCTCGAACTAGCCCCAGGAGGGAAGTATTTGGTTCTCCCTGTAGAGATTAGGACATTGAAGCCCAGAGATATTCAGTAACTTGCTTGAGGTCCCAGCAGGACTCGACCTCAGGTCTCTTCAATGCCAAATCCAGGCTCCCCCCATTCTGGCCTCCTGGTTCCTCTCTTTCACCAAAATGCCTCTAACAGAGGTCAGCCTCCAGGCCCAGAGCCCACCAAGACCTCGCCAAGAGCGGTGTCCCAAGTCCAACCTCCCAAATCCCAACCGTGGCTACATGTTCTGTTAAAGAGGCAAAGCTTGTCATCCAGTTTGAAGTCAAAAATCTTAGTTTTGCTCAAAGAAGACTCGCTGACTTTTTGTGTATATTGTAAAGATGTACAGGAAGGTAGGTCCCTCTGTGCCCCTTTAGGAACAGATGGTATGCTTGGTATGTTCTTGGAAATCCTGTAACTCACAGAAGGCCTGGGAGGAGGGGGGCCTCCTGGGGTCATGTTCTGGTTCTTTCCACAGCTGCGTTCAGCTTGTGAAAATTCCAGTACTTCGTATATGTGTATTTTACTTCAACCACAAGTGAGGCAAAGAGAACGGACAGTTCTTGGCTTGGATTTAGCAGAGCACCTTTGAACTCCTCACACTCCCCTTCCAGCCCAATACCCGTGGACCCCTGGTCAAACGTCTTGTGGCCATAACTCCTCCACGTCCTTGCCACCCCTGCCCCTGGACTGTGTTGAAGTCAATCCCAGCATCGCACTGTGTCACCTGCAACCACGCCCCTCCCAGCCCGTCTTACACTGCGTGTCCTGTCCGTGTGATTTTCAGGCCACTACATGTACGTGGACTCGGTGTATGTCAAGCACTTCCAGGAGGTGGCGCAGCTCATCTCCCCGAAGACCATGGCCCCCATGTCCGGCTGCCTGTCGTTTTATTACCAACTCCAGCAGGGGAATGACAATAGCTTCTCCCTCTATACTCGGGATGGGGCCGGCCTTTACGAGGAAATCTGGAAAGTGGGCCAGCCAGGGAGTGCTGCCTGGAATCTGGCCGAGGTGGAGTTCAGCGCGCCGTACCCCATGGAGGTGGGTATGGAGGCAGGTGCGCCCTGGCCTCACCACTGTGCGCTGTGCGAGGGTGTTGCCGACTCGTTCGTCTGCCGATCGGGAGACACCCGGCCACAGTGCTCCGTTCTTCTCTGTTGTGTGTCCATCTTCATCTTCCCTTTCCTTCCATGGGCCCCCTCTGCTTCTCCCTCTTCCTCTTTTCCCTGCATCTTTCTGCTTTCTACCAAGACTGTTTTCCCCAAGGACAAATAGGGAAAATCGAGTCCATCAACGACATTTCTTGGGCGCACGTGCCCTCTCAACCTGCACTGTGGTCGTGACTTCAAAAGAGAGGAATGCCCTCTAGGGTGAAACCCACCCTTGAACTTCCATTCCTGAGAGCAGGGATGAACCTTTCCCTTACTTGAGGGAAGAGACTTTCTAGAGATAGAGGAGAAGAAGAAGAAGAAGAAGAAGAAGGAGAAGGAGAAGGAGAAGGAGGGGGAGGGGGAGGAGGAGGAGGAGGAGGAAGAAGAAGAAGAAGAAGGAGGAGGAGGGGGAGGGGGAGGAGGAGGAGGAAGAAGAAGAAAAAAAAAGCCAACTTATTTTCTTCTTTCCTCCTTTACAGTATAAATAATGTCCTCAGTATTAGAAAGATTTATCATTGTGGCCCCAGTTTGAAACAAGGCTGGGTGCTTTAGTTTTAAAACTTTTTACAGTTACATGAGTGATAAATATCCAGTGCAGAAGAATTAGAAAATCCGGGAAAGCAAAACAAACTCAAACCACCCAGGCTGAGCCTGCAAGGATGAGAACACTAACATTTTGGTGTTCATCATTGCGGGCCTATTTTCTAAGCATGTATATTAATACATATCTCTTTTTATGTGTGTATTCCAGTACTTACAACAACCCAAAGTAGATAAAATTATCCCCACATTGCAGATAAGGAAGGAGGAAAAAGAGAGCCCAAGCAGTTTGCTATTTTTTATCTAGGTCACACAGCTGGTGAGTGCCAGGCACTTAGGAAAGTCCTGGACTCAAATCTGACCTAGAGCTGAAGGCAGAGGCCCAGCTCTGTCTGAGGACCCCAGAGGACCCCTAGAATCAGTGGGTGCAACATTGTGGTTGCAGATTTGGAGCTCTACATAGAGTCTTAGTTACCACAGGTTTGTTAACATCCGTAGTTTGTGCTTTGTGCCTTTGGTAATAGCTCCTATGGTTCCCTTTAGAGCACAGAAGAGGTGGATTCTTCTCTGCATGCTTCTGGGTGGGGTCATTGGCTCCCCTGACGTGGAGCTTCGGAGAGCGTTGGCATCGGATTGGTCGGTGACATGTTCTGTCTACTGAAGACAGGCCTGCCACTCCCCATACTCCCTTCAGATCCCCTCCGACCCCCCCAACCCACAGCTCCAGAGAGAGCACCATGCCTTTTGCAGGCCGTGCGCTCTTTCCTATCCCCAAGTCTGACGCGGCCGTGGTTTGCTCTTGCAGCCCAGTGGAAAATTTTCTGAGTTTGGGTTATAAGGTGGAAAAGAAATGCACATACTGTTTCAGAAACTTTTCCTTCTATTAAAGTCAAATGAGTCACACACGCAGTGACGACAGTCTCTTTGCAAACTCCTTCCATCTGACCATAAACTCCCTGGGCAGGATTTGTATGAGTGAGACTTTGCTGAATTTTCTTTTATATCAGTGCTTGAAAAGTCGCAATTCTGGACACTACCCCACTTCAATATGTATGCTTTTGGTTCTCATGTGCGTGCTTTTGCTCCAGCAATCTAACTCACGATGCTGCTACTGGAAATTGCCGCCAAAGGAACTAAATACTCTGCAGAACCCAGGGAATTTAATGTCACCAGATTCTCAAATGAATTTTAAAAAGGAAAGCAAACATCTGAGACCCCCTTTTCCAAACAAGAGGGAACATGCTGGCACGTGGGCTGTGATTTACAAATTCCGATTGGAAGCATTCTCACCCCACCTACTCAGTAAGATCAAGCTCTGTCATTCACTTGATCAGCGAGCACCCTGAAAGTGAAACGTCGCGGACCTGTGCTATGTTTGTGGACTCCGTTGCCCCTTCTCACTGGTCCACATCTGTCCCCTTTGTTCCCAGCCCTCACCTTTGCCAGCAACAAATCTCCGGGGCCCCTCTTATATTTTGCAGAATCCAAGTGTCTATGGGACCATTGTTGTTAAGCTGAACTGGACCATCTCGTCCACACTCCTTCTTTCAAAACCGGAGACACTAAGACCTAGAGGAGGGAAGGAACCTGCTTGAGCTAATTAGCGGCTAAGTAGGCTCAAACCTGAATATGCGTTGAAGAGGGGATCAACCTGGAGAAATCCGCATGAATTTAGTACAGAGCTCAGGATGCACCTGACTCCATGCTAGGGGCTTTATATATATATTTCATCTCATTTAATCTCCTCAATAGTCCTACAAGGTAGGGGTTATTATGCCGGTTTTATAAATAACAAAGGCAAAGCCTTAAGAGGGTTAGCAAGGTATTTAAGGTCACCTAGCTAGTGACAGAAATGGGATTTGAACTCTAGTCTGTCTGCCTCCAAGACACCGTTCTCTTTAGAAGAGGTTTGAAAACTAGACACCTAGGGGTCAGATCTTGCCCACAGTGATTTGCCTGGCTGCTAGAGTGGTGGGTTGTGCGTCCCTTGTTTTTCCACGTTCGTTTTAGTGTTTGAATAAATCACCAACACTGAAAAATCCAAAGATTTCCAGTAAAAATCTAGAGATCCAGTCCTCTTGATGATTTGGTAGGTCCAAACACATCAGGCCTGAACTCCTACATGTCAGCAATTGAGGAAGCAGAGTAGCAGGCGCCCCTTAAGACCAGGCTTGGGTTCCCCATTTCAGGACCATCTGCACCCTGTCCTGCTGCATCACACCAAGCTCATGTCATGCATTCATGTCATCTGTCTGGCCTGAGTTTCAACCCCTGCCAACACTGCATCTTCTCGTGTTAATTCATTAGAGTGGGCTGCACACTGGGGCGGTTTTCCCACCATGCTCCCCACTGTGTGCAGAGCTGTGCGCACCCCTCCCGATCCCCATGGGCACAGGCAGAAGGTAGTCGATTGACCTCAGGGTGGAAGCTGGTGGCAGAGCAGGGAGAAACACGAAAGGGTTGAACTCATTAACAACCTCATGTTCTTTCTGACCATTTGGATGTACCTGGACATGCTAAAATGCTGACATCCATACCTAGAATTTGGGGCCTGATTTCGCCTTAGCAGACAGGTCAGCCTCTTTGATTCTGCATGTTTGTCCAGAACCCTCACAGGGAATTTCTTTTTTATTTTTTTAAGATTTTATTTATTTATTTGACAGAGAGAGACACAGCGAGAGAGGGAACACAAGCAGGGGGAGTGGGAGAGGGA